GGGGCCTGAACTCTGGGCCTGGGCGCTGTCCCTCAGCTCTTCAGCTCAAGGCTAGCGCTCTACCACTTGAGCCACAGTGCCACTTCCGGCTTTTTTCTTATGTGGTGCTGAGGAATCAAACCCAGGGCCTCAGGCATGCAAGGCAAGTGCTCTACCACTGAGCCACCTTCCCAGCCCCACACCTAAATGTTTTAATGTTCATCCATCCATTGATCCATCCATTCATCTGTACACACAATATAAACATTTCCTTTACTATAATGTCATATATATAAGGTATTTTAAAGCTCCATTTACTGATTTAAAATAATCTGTCCCTGCTTCTGTTACTACAAAAGAGTAAGATATGCATGCTTTTTTGAGACGGAAAACTTGCTGACAAATAGATTCAAAGTAAAACTGTCCAGCTCTGACACATTCAGATGCTATAAGAAAAAATAAAAACAAAAAAACCCTAATTACCTGAGATAACTTGTATCTATAGTGTGCTTAAAGTTTTTGTGTAAGTATAAATATACTAAAAATTTTGCTATTAATTTTCTCTATGTTTTCAAGAGATATATTTTATAAAAATACTTAATTCCCATTATTGCACTGTTGGTGGGAATGTAAACTATTACCACCACTCTGGACAGCAATTTTCTGTTTTCTCAAAAACCTAAACATAGATCTTCCCTAAGACTCAGCCATACCACCCCTGGCCATCTACCCCAGAACACCACAAACCAGAATACCATAAACATACTTGCACATCCATGTTCACTGCTGCACTATTCACAATAGCCAAGTTATGGAAACAGTCCAGATGTCCTACAATGGATGAGTGGATCCAAAAAATGTGGTACTTATACACAACAGAATTTTACACAGCCATTAAAAAGAATGAATTTGTTATTTGTTATCATATTAAGTGAGGTGAGCCAAGCTCAGAGAGACAAATGGCACATGTATTCTTCACATGAAGTTAGACCTAAAATATACTGAGCCATGATAATTTAGGGATCTAAGTCATTCCCATACAATGAGACCAAAGAAGCATATTCTTAGGAGAGGAACACAAAGGCACAATGTCTATGTGCATCTGATCATATAACATAATATTTATCAAAATGAACTCCAAGAAAGGGAAACAAGAGGCTTTTTTTCTTCGCTGCTGTCTTTGTTTTCTTTTTTTGTTGTTCTGTTTGTTTATATATCTTTGAGAGGGTAAGGAGAGGCACAGAAATGGAGGGCCAAAGGGTGAACAAATGCATCAATGGTACTCACTGGATACTATGTTGAAAATGAAGTACACACTTATGGGTGGGGTGTGGAAGGGGAAAACTGGGAGAAAGTGAGGGAAGGGGTGACATTGTCCAAAAAGAAATGTACTCTTTACCTGACTTATGTAACTGTAATGCATCTGTACATCACCTTTATTATAACAATATTTTTCTTTAAAAAGAGAACTGGGCATTATCTAATAAAATATAAAATTTGCAAGACTCTTATAGGTAAATTCCAGGGCTCCCTACAAAAGTTATACAACAAACTGGTTTTAGGGCTGTGATCTCAGATCTTCTTTTCCCTTGCTATAATAGGTATTGTGGAACTGAAGAGTAAGGTAATGATTATAAGACAGGACAATGATAGGAGGAAAAGCCTAGGGCAGGTCTGGGATGAACTGTTAAAATGAAGAGAAAGGCCAGACCCAAGGTTCATAAACATAACTAACCTTAAATCGGACGTTTGTCATGCTTGTAATCCTACCACTAGGGAGGCTGAGATCTGAGGATAGAAGCTCAAAGCCAGCCCAGATGGAAAAAAAAAATCCATGAGATTCTTATCTCCAATTAACCAGCACAAATTTGGAAGTAGAGGTGTAGCTCATTCATTTTCTCAAGTGGTAGAACACCTGCCTTGAGCAAAGAAGCTAAGGAAGACTGGGAGGACCTGCATTTAATTGCATTTAATTTCCACTACTGGAATCAAACCAAATCAACCAAAATGGCTATCTAACCTAAGCAGAGACAAACAATGAGTAGAAGAGAGTGAGATCCCTGGCAGGGATGGGAGCTGAGGTTGAGAGCTTGAGAAGAACAAAGATGTAAGGGTCATCATGGGGATCCCCAGCACTGCAAGGAAACAAATTAAATTTGGAACTTCAATGCTTGATAAATTCACAAAATATCAACACGTATCACCTTGTTTGCATAGCTAGTTAGCTCCTTATCTGAATTTAAATTGAATCTTCTGAATTTATATTTGTATTTCTCTGTGATGGATGTATAGACAGTTTTTTGGTTTTTGGCTTTTTTTTTTCTAGACAAATCATATAGTCCTGAGCTACATTCCCAGCTCTTCAAAAGAACCCTACTTATGCATTAATCAGACCAAAATAAATTGGTAATGCTAATAACACACACACACACATACACACACACACACACACATACACACACACACACACACACTGAGCAGCAGTGGGAACCAGCGGAAGTCAGACAGCAGGGATTTATAGCAGAGTCTGTCTTCTGTTTTATGACTTATAGCATGAACATCTAGGAGTACAGGGAAATAAATGGCTATTGTGTTTTCTCTAAGGCTGAAAAGTTACAATGATGTGAGTAAGTGCCTTTATGACATAGTAGATCTCTTAAGAGACTGAGATTTTCCAAGTTCTCAGTGGTATAGAACAAATGAATTGGAGTGGTACTATGCCTTTAAGAAAAAAACTCTGTGACTTCAAGCTCTGCTTTAAAATGTTTTGAGGCTTCACTGGAATTGAAGTACCTAATAGTTAAATGGCCACTAAAAGATTTATTAGATATTCGCTTTAACTGACCCCAGGGGTGTCCTTCAATTTCACTCAGCATCTGCAGTTTCTTTGAAGTTTTTGCTTCTTGTGTGTGTGTGCGCTATTCCCTAAATGCTGATACATATAAAAGATGTATAAATCAAAGTGATGTTTTAATTCATTAAGTGCTCGAGTGGAAGGTGCCCTGAGAAACTCCATTCCTTGAGAGGCTGCTGTGTAATGTCCCCTCTACATCAATGGAAACTCATCTTTGGTGCACTTGAAGAATCAAAGAAAATGAATCTCACCTCTAATTTTTGGTTCAAATTGCTCAGTTCAAAGGGCATTTCTTCTTTGTGAGGGATTTCTTTTCGGCCAATTTTGTTCTGCTTCATCTGGTGTAATCTCAGTTTTTCAAAGTTATTGGTTAGTTGAGAAAACTGTTAAGCAATAGAAACACACACACGTTACCATTAGCAATTATTTCCAGGTTGATTTCATTTTTTCTAGTCCTGATTAGAAAGTGTAGTAAAACTCAAATGTTCCCATTAGTGAAGACAGAAGCAGTTATTAAAAATAAATTATTGAAGCTGAATACAACTTAGTGCTTATGTAAATGTGGGACTTGGTTTCACTTTTTAACCGTATGTAGCACAGCTCACTATTTTTAGATGACAGGTTTTTTTTTGTTTTTGTTTTTATTTTTTGTCGGTCTTGCGGCTTGAACTCTGGGCCTGAGCGCTGTCCCTAGGCTCTTCAGCTCAAAGCGAGCACTCTACCACTTGAGCTACAGCGCCACTTCTGCTCATGATTTTTAAAAACCAATTTTTTCATGCTTTTATTCAGAGCCATCTTGTGTTAACACTTGTGTTAACAATTTTAATTCCAGTAACTCAATCTATAAAATAGACAGCTTAAGACAGTATAGAAAAAAGCCAGCAGAGGCCAATCAGGGGAGGCTCACTGGGCCTGCTGCAGAGGGGAGGAGGGGGGAATGATGGAAGAGGCAAGGGGTTCAGGAGCACATCCTCAGGGTTGCTGTGTGGACAGATGGTTGGTGTGTGGCCATTAGCTTCTAGCAATGGACTTGTAACAGTGACTAACTGAAAAATGAATCCAATTAGGTTTATACTGCAACCAAGAAAATTGACTATTTAACTAAAAAGACAGTAATGTGTATGCGTGTGTGTGTGTGTGTATACGTGTGTGTGTGTGTGTGTGTGTGTGTGTGTGTGTGTGTTCCAGTACTGGGGTTTGAATTCAAGGCATCGGCACTGTTCCCTAACTTTTTTTGCTTAAAGGTGGCACTCTACTTCTAGCTTCTTGCTGGTTATCTGAAGATTAAGTAATTCACAGGTTTGTCTGCTCAGGATGGCTTCAGATGGCAATTCTCAGATCTCAGTCTCCTGAGTAGCTGGGATTACAGGTATGAGCCACCAGTGCCTGGCTTGTGTTTATTAAATTAACATTGAAATAACTCTAGGTTCACAAGAAGTTTCAAAGTTCTTATTTATACATAGGTTCTAGGCTCATTTCACTCAGTTTCTTTACATCTATACCTTTTCCTGAGTATTAAATAGAGGAATTTGTAAGAAAATTGGTGAGAAAGTTACATGTACAATTCTATGTTATTTTCTCACACATAGGATCCAAGTGACTGCAATCAAATAAAGATACAGAGCTAGGGGTGAGGAGTACAGCTTGGGGATACAGCACATGGTTAGCCTGGAGGAAGCCCTGGCTAGTCTATGACCACAAAGATGGATTTCAAGCTACCCACTGAGAGTCACACTCAGCCACTCACTCTCCTATTCTTTTTGTGATGAACAGGGGGGTTACAGTAACATAAGTAAGGTAAGGAGTACATTTCTTTTTGAACAGTTATCCCCTTCCTCATATTCTCCTCCTTTCCCCTTTCCACTTCCTCCCCACAAATTGTAAAGTTCATTTCCAACATAGTGTCTAGTTGTTGCATTAGTTCATCCTTTGTCCTGTTGTTTCTATGACTGCCTTTCCCTTCCACAGATCAGATAAACTTATATACAGGGAAAAAGGGTATAGAAAACTAAAACAAAACAAAAAATAGAAATAACTGCATACCTTTTAAGACTGGATTTTTCATTTAGCTTAATGTCCTTGAAATCTATTTGTATGTCATTATTGACACATTTTAATTGGTGTGAACTTTTCTATGTAAGTTTTTGTATGGTTAGATGCTTTCCTTTGTCTTTGATATATATTTACAACTAGAATGGTAGCATCATGTAGTAACTCAGTTTAACCTCCTGAGAATCAGCAGACTGTTTTGCAAAGTGGCTGCTTACTCCAGGTTTTCCTTCTCCTCATCCACACATGCAAATTATTTTGCATTACAGCCATCCCAGTGGTTATGACTTTGTAATGATGAGTGGTTGTGAGCAGTTTTGCACGTGCTTATTGCCCATATGTGTATCTTATTGGAGAAACATCGACTGACATCTTTTATCTATTTAAAGATTTGGCCATCTGTCTTTGTATTATTGATCAGTGTGCCATGGTTTGGGTTTGGTCTGAGCATGACCCACAAGGGTTCGTGGGCTAGAAATTGGTCCTCAGTGTGGTGATGCTGAGAGGTTGGGCCTAATAGAGAGTGATTTAGTCATTAGAGCTTTTGTCCTTTAAAGGGGCCAGTGTGATTTGCATGGGACCTGGTTAATTCCCAAGCGGGTCTTGTTGGCTTCACTGTGTCCTCACTCTCACACTCACTCTCACCTGTCATGCCATCAATAAACCATACTCTGATACCAGCAGTATAGTACTCACCACAGGAACTTTATACACATTGAAAAATGGATTGTGCTGGTCCTGGGCTTGAACTCACGGCCTGGGCACTATTCTTGAGCTGTTTTGCTCAAGGCTAGCACTCTACCACTCAAGTCACAGGTTTACTTTCAGGTTTTTGGTGGTTAACTGGAGATAAGAGTTGCAGGGATTTTACTTCTTGGGCTGGCTTTGAACTTGGATCCTCATATCTCAGTCTCTTGATCAGCTAGGATTCTAGGCATAAGCCACTCTGTGCCCAGTATTGTTAATTTTTAATCCAATAATTTAGGAAGTTCAAGAGAAAGAAAGCTTACTGCCATTTAACCTTGCTTTTATTTTGCTCCCCTACCCCATCTTGATGTATCAAGATTCATTATTATTTTTGTTCTGTAAAATAACTTTCTTTAGTTGTTGTCTTTGGGACAAATGCTGTGAGTCTTCCTTCTTTTTGATAGTAACTAGATTTCTCCTTCATTCCTAAAAGATGTTTTTGCTGAACTGAGAGTTCTGGCTTGCAGGGCCTGTTCTGTCAATTTTTAGGTGCTGTACCATTCCTCTTCCTGCCATGGCTCCTGGTGAGAAGTCCATGGTGGTCCTCTTTGGCTTTCTTACCGTCAAGCTGTCATTGCTCTCTTGCTGCTCCTAGGGTTTATCATTTGGTTTTGTCGTTCAGTGTATTTGAAATTTTATGATGTATCCTGCCCTATAGTTCTTTAGGTTTATCCTGAAGAATTTTTTAGAGGTTCACTCAGCTTCTTGAATTTGTAAGGTTTTGTTTTTTTTGCTAAATTTTGGAACTTCACAGACATTATTTCTTTCCATACCCTTTCACCTTCACCATCTTTGTCCTCTCCTGGAATTCTGATGACACAAATTTTAAATCTTTTACTATACACTCTTCAGTTGATTTTGTATTGGTCTTTCTGTTGTTCAGATTGGGTAAATTCTACTGTATCATCTACAAATAACTGATCCTTTTTCTTGCCTTTTGTTTTTCAGTCATGGTCTTAAACTCAGGACCTGAGTAGCCTTTTTGTTCCCTCTCTCAATACTAGCACTTTACTGCTTTGAGCCAAAAATCCACTTTCTTCCTTTTCTTGTCTTCTTTATTCTAAAAGTTTAATTTCCTTGACAGGACTATTTTTTCACTCACATCAAGTATAATTTATAATTGCTCATTTTTGTAACACCTGTTTTAAAAATCCTTGAGGCAGGTGCTGGTGACTCATGCCTGTAGTCCTACCTACTTGAGAGGCTGAGAAGGCAAGAATCACAATTACAGGCCGGTCTAAGCAGAAAAAGTCCAAATGACTCTATGGAGGGAAGCTGGATGTGGTGGCATGCCCTTATCATTTCAGCTATGACAGGAAACCTCAAATGGGCAGATCATGGTCCAGGTATTCCACCTAGACAAGTGGCCTGGAATTCACTGTTACAGCTTCCACTGCATGGAGATCTAGGTTTCTGGTGCAGTGTATGTGGAGGCAGGTGTGGGGGGCGGGGGTGCAGTGAAGTTTTGCCTGAGGTATTTGGCTTTTTCACAGGGTTACCCAGGGAAGGGAGAGTGCAGCAGGGAGCTATGAACATGAATGAGAAGGAGCTAAGCTTCTCCCAAGACATAGGCAGAAGCATTATTTGTGAAACAGCTCCATCAGGTACAAGGTAGTAAAGATGGGTTTTCTTCTTTCAGTTATCTCATTCATAATAGCAAATGAACATATTTTAAATTGCCCTAGATGAAAAGTTTGCCTCTGTTAGGTAGCAATAATCAAAAAAGACAATTTTTCTTTTTGCAGTTACACAAAGCTATGCCCAAGTTCTGTGTTAGTAGCTGAAGGGTAAAGAATAGATACCAAGCTGCCAATGTGGTAAAAGAAAAATAATCAGTGCACAGGACATAATGAAAGACAGGGAATACATGTAACTAAAATATAAGAGCATCTGCTTGCATTAACGAAAAAGTGTTCAGATAAAATCAACACTATTTTATAGGTCAAAAATACACAGCAAAATGTATAATATTATATTTTATCAAGTTTTCTTACTTGAGCTCTTAAGGTTTGTAGTTGTCCTTCATAATTCTGAGTCATTGCTAAATTACATTTTTCTAGACTGTCCAACTTCTGTCGAAGTAATCCCACCTGCATCAACAATCAAATTTAATTTTGATTTGTTTTACTAAATTTTACTTGACAAAATTAGAAAACATACAAAAAAGAAACACCACATAAAACAAAGCACTTACCTAAGAATGAATATGTATACTACAGTTTACAAAATAGCTATGAATAATTAAATTCCTTAAACTCATTATTTCTAGCACTTCTCTCATTAGGTATACATGCAGTATGAATGTTTAGCAAAAGATCCTTATCACAATCACACTGTAATATAAGATGTTGAGTTTACTTTGCATTAGCTTCGTAAGAGGCTATGTCTTCATTACTCAAGCAAAACTTCTACTAACATAATTCAACCTCTTTTTTAAAAAAATTTCTGTTTTGGCACTCCTGCCTGCAAAAGGAACTCTGCTTCAGTGAATACTATGAATAATTGTTATATATTTTGTAAGAAGTAACATATTAAAAAATACAAATGGCTGGGTGCTGGTGGCTCAGCCTGTAATCCTAGTTACTAAGGAGGCTGAGATCTGAGTATCATGGTTCAAAGCCAGCGAACCCAGCCAGGGCAGGAAAGTCTGTGAGACTCTTATCTCCAATAAACCACAAGAAAACTGGAAGTAGCACTGTGGCTCAACTGGTATAGTGCTAGCCTTGAGCTGAAAAGCTGAGGGACAACTCAGGGACAGGCCCAGAGTTCAAGCCCCATGACCAACAAAAAAATAAAAAAAATAAAAAAAATAAAAAAGTATAAATGGCTAGTTGTTGAGGATTGGGCTTATGAGAGTCATCTTCTTAAAATGTAGGTAAGTCACCTGTTTACATATCTGTGTCATTATAGGTATGTAAGAAAGAACTAGTCCTTGCATATGTCAAGACTGATGACCTGTCTCTATGGTGAAAGAAACCAGATACCAATAACTAAGGGCCACCATCCTTGGCCATGGCATAGTTAACTGAATTCAAACCTAAGTTCCACTGAAATGCCATGAGGTGAAAAACTGGCTGACAAAGTTAGTAGATGATGTTTCTCTTACCCCTCACTTAAAAGAAAAAATCCAGAGATAAGACATTGCACATTGGTCTCCCAGAACTCTGCCAGCCTGAGTACTCTCACACATTCTTTTCCTTCTTAAATTTTCTTTTCTTTTTTATGTGGTACTGAGGAAGTGAACCCAGGACCTCATGCCTGCTAGCAAGCACTCACTCTACCACTAAGTCACATGCCCAGTCCCTCAAACATTCTGTGAGTACCAATACGTAAGTAAGAGTGCTTCCTAAGGTGCTCAGGGTGCTTCAGGAGCACCTGCGCACCGTCGCCAAGTCATTCTCCTTGGTTCTACAGTCAGTTTCTTTAAAAAAAAATACACTTTCTCTGTCTATTTATTTAGATGGTAGTGTGATTTGGACTCAGGTTCTCCTTCGTGTGTGTGTGTGTGTGTGTGTGTGTGTGTGTGTGTGTACCAGTACTTGATAGGCAGGCACTGGATAGCCAGGTCTCCAGCTCCTACCATCAGTTCTTTAGTGTGTGTGTGTGTGTGTGTGTGTGTGTGTGTGTGTGTGTGTACCAGTACTGGAGCTTGAACTCAGGGCTCATGTTTATGCTTGGCTCCTTTGCTCAAGGCTGGCATAACTCCACTTCCTACAATCAATTTTGGACACCTTATTTTCAGGAAATAGTCTTCTAGCAGATTACAAGAGGTGAATACTTCTGAACTCTGCCTTGAACAGAGACAAGTTTTTTTCTTCTTTTTTAATATATATTTTAATTGTAAAGATACTGTACAGAGGGGTTACAGTTACACAAGCAAGGTAATGAGTCCGTGTCCTATCGAGCATTGTTATACCCTCCTTTATTTTTCCCCTACCATCCCCTTCCTCTCACCTCCCCAACTCCTCCCTCCCATCTCCCACCCTTCCCCACTCTGCGCCCCTCTGCGTCCCAGGTTGCAAAGTTTTAAAGTTCGTTTTCAACATAGTGTCTTGTACATCTCATTGTTACAATGGGTCAACCTGTATCCTTATTTCAACATTTTGTTATTTCCCTTCCCCTCCCCACATTAGAAAATGTATATACAAGATGCAGGGCACTGGAATAAAATACAGTGATGACAGGGGTTGTACCTTGGAGGAAGAGCATACAAAGAAACAAAAAAAAAATCACATAGTACATTATAAGTACATTAAAAAGAACAGCAACAAAAAGAAAACCTCTTGTGTCTCTATCTTGGGGTTCATTTCGCTTAGCATCAGGTCATATGTACATAGCTTTTGACCTTTTCTGCTTGTCCTAGACATATTCTAGTTATTGCAAATAAGGGAAACCATGGGACCTATGTTTCTTTGGGCCTGGCTTACTTCACTTAATATAATTTTTTCCAAGTCTTTCCATTTCCTAACAAATGGGACGTCATTCTTTCTGATAGAGGCATAGAATTCCATTGTGTGTGTGTGTGTGTGTGTGTGTGTGTGTGTATATATATATATATATATATATATATATATATATATATATTTCACATTTTCTTGATCCATTCATCTACTGCAGGGCATCTGGGTTGGTTCCATATCTTAGCTATGCTGAATAATGCTGCGATAAACATAGTTTTGCTGGTAGATTTAGTATGACCTTGTTTGTGACCATTTGGGTAAATGCCTAAAAGTGGGATTGCTGGGTCATAGGGGAGCTCTTTGTGTAGTCTTTTGAGGAACCTCCATACTGCTTTCGAAAGTGGTTAAACAAGTTTACATTCCCACCAACAGTGCAGTAGGGTTCCCTTTTGGCCACATCCCCTCCAGCATCTGTTGTTATTAGATTTCTTGATTACAAAAACAAGGTTTTGATAACCACTTATTTATTTCTATAGTAACAAAAGATTTTTGATTACAAACAATACTCAACATACATATTTGATGTTTATTTACTTTTATAGATAGTATAGTTACTGTAAGTCTATCTTCATCTGCAAGTATCTATGAATTTTGACTGTACTTATTTGATAACATAGTTTAATACATTATTTGCTGACAGTTTTCAGCTCATGCCTGAGCAAAACATCTACAGTAAAAAACATATCTCATAGAACATATCCTATAGAATAAGTACTAAATAAGACTAATAAGATTTGGGAATGAACAGTGTATTAATGCATGCATTCCATACCTCTTGACCTTTCTGATCCAAACAAGTTTGTGCATTAGCTAATTCTTGATCCCGAAGATCTAATCGTGTCTCCAAAGCCCGCATTTTTCTTTCCCAGTCCAATTTTTTGTTGCTTACCATGATGTCAATTTGTTCCATTAATTCCTGAAGCTCAGCCTCACAAGGAGAAGTTCTGGCAATTGTAGAAAAGCAGAAGACATTAAATGTAAAGTGAGGGCATGAAAAATGACCACTGAATAGCTCAATCATTTCCTCAAGATGTACAATTATTAAAGAAATCCAAATGCTGGATATGAATTTTTTAATTGAAAAGGTATTTTCAGAGCTAGCAATATATATGCATATATATGTATATTATGCATATACTTAAGTTTTAAAGTAATATTTTTGGAGTGGCCTAATGGTAAGGAATATATTTATTCTGGAAAATGGTGAAGACTAATTAATATTCCTACAAATAAATACACATGTACCTTCCTCACTCATATCTTAAGGAGGCTTGGCAGAAGCAAATAGGGATGCCACTCACACCTGCCAGGGAGAGAAGAGCAAGCTTGCTGCAGGCAGGACCAGATTCAGGAGCACTGACTCTGTTGCAGTGCTGCTCCACAGAGAGAGAAACTTGACATAATGTCTGTCTAAAAGGAACTGATCACACAAGTGGACAGCAGAGGTTAAATCTTTAGTAACTCTGGCTACATAGGTAAGAATCTAGGAGTCTGGTCTACTAAGTTTGAAACAAGAACCCTGGTAAGGGCTGGTATTACTGGAGTAAAATCTGATGGGAACACAGGTTGCTAATGTCTTCAAAGGAGCCGAAAGATTCCCCCAGGGAGCTGCCACATGCCCAGCCACTCAGACTGGGTAAGCAGGTGGTTAGTGAAGCCTCAGATGTCAGCCTGAGGCACACACAAGGGCCCACATTCTGTGAGCTATTTCAGTACTCATTTCAATATGGTGGTCTGGCTTTTAATATATTTAGAGACCAGGGAGGAGGGCAGAAGAGAGAGAGGGAGAGGTGCAAAAAGACATTTGCTTCCTTTCTTTAGAGTTGCTAAATTGGCATCTCTGGGCTAATTAAGGATCATTTAGCATTTTAAACAACTGAGGCTCAGAGAGGTTCAGGGCTACACAGCTAATGAGTATAATAACTTCCTATTTGCCACATGGCTAAAGACGGGAGGTTTTCATGAGGAACATTTTCAAAAATACAGCACAGATTTGCTCCATGGCAGTAAGGTTAGGAACAGCTATCATTACAGGGGAGAAGTCCAACAGCTGAACTCCTATGGACAACACAGTTTAGCAAAATGAACACCAGAAAGCTAAACCATGCTTTGTCAGGGGTAGAGGGGCAGATGAATGAAGAGAGGACTGGTGAGCAAATACAGCAATAATATTCAATGTACATATGTGAAAGTAAAACCAGGTAACTTCAGGGGATGGGGGGAGCTGGGAGAGATGGGGAGGACAATGGAAGGTGTGACACTGGTCAGGAGGTACTGAGCATATAAACTGACTGGATGAATTCAAACCCTCTGTACAGCTACTTGAAGATATTTTTCAAAATTTAAAAATGATAAGAATTCCTTTTTTCCCTTCCCTTTCCTTTCCACTCCTCCTCTTTTCTGAAGCTTGAACTTAGGACATAGAGTTTGGGCTCTGTCTTTTTTTTTTTTTCCACTTAAAGCTAGCTCTCTAGCACTTGTGCCACAGCTCTGGCTGTAGTGGTGTTTTTTGTGGGTTTTTTTTTTTTTTTTTTGGTGACATGTTGGTAGTTAATTGGTGATAAAAGTCACACTGGTTAATTGGAGATAAGACTCTCACAAACTTTCTTGCCTCTATTGGCTTCAAACTGTGATCCTAGATTTCAGCCTCCTGAGTAGCTAGGATTACAGATGTGAGCCACCAGCACCATGTGAAGCTGCCTCTTTCTACTACAAAGCTTCTCTACTTTCCTGCCAGAAAAATACTAGATACTTAAAGCAAATTTGTTAAGTGAATGAGTATAAGATTTCCAGACACTTCCCAATCCTCTTGTTTCCCCTCTGAATATATTTTGTTTACCAGTTTACTCTTTGAAGTGTATCACTTAGTTCTACAACATAATAAATAGCCCAGGTGTGGCAAAATGAGCTGGGCTGTGAGAGGGACTCCCATCCTGTCATTCAGCTAGATGAAGATCACTTTAGCTTGGGATTTGGGCGTGGCCCGGACAAAGCCGTGGTATCACACAGTTCCAAAGAGTTTGCATTTATCTAAAACCCCTAATTTCTTTTCATACAGTTAGGAGTAAGCTAACTAGTCACTACCTGGTTTCTTGGGGGATCTAAGTGGAATACTTGATAGTTTTCCTTACTAAATTTCAGCTTTCTAGTTCCAGCTTTTCTGTGTGGCTCAGTATGAAGGACTGGGAAAACAAGACACAGCACTGACTACCTGGGCATGAAGATAGATTTGCAAGGCCAGCAGGGAAAATACAAGACTAACACATACATGCAGGTCCCTCAAAAAAGTGACTGAGTAAGACTTAAAGACTTGAGCCTTTCCTCACCTAACAGCTGTCATGTTTCTTTTAGACAGTATATTCACTGTAGCTCCAAGATGTGTGACTATTGCATATCTGACAAGTACTCACTGTTTATACAAGTGTAAATATATTATTCATAAATATAAATGGTTCCAGTTATTATATATCATATGACATATACTACAATGTTTATATTTTGAAATATCACATATTATATAACAGATTATATACAATATGTATCATACATATGATATATAATACATTATCTGTCAGATTATAGGGTTGCTTGGTATAATAAGGCCATCCAGGAAACAGCTGGCCAGGCTGGATCCTGGTGAGCATTGCTGGCTCAAAAATCTCAGCTCAGCCAGGCACTAGTGGCTCACACTTGATTCTAGTTAGTCAGAAGGCTGAGATCTGAGGATTACAGTTCAAAGCCAGCCCCAGCAAGAAAGTTCATTATATTCTTATCTCCATTTAACCATCAATCCCCAATTCCCCCTACAAAAGCCTTAAGTAGAGCTGTGGCTCAAATGTCAAAGTGCCAACCTTGATCAAAAAGTCTAAGGAAGTACCCAGACATACACACATACCGCTCAGCTAACAATTGGCCTAATTCTGTTTTACATCAAACTCAGCTTTTGTCAGATTTAATATTTCCTTTTGAGATTAACTTGTTTTATTGTTTTGTTGTATTTTCCACTCTTGTTTTTCAGTCATAATTACTAGCAGTTCAGCTGTCTCATTATCATCAGTATTTGCTCCTAAACCTAAATAACTTAAGAATTGAAAAGGCTTGACTTAGTCACCTTCACATCGCTAGGCATTAACAGTCTTCACTGATGTTCCTTACTTCCTGTAGTCAAATGACAGTTAAGTATTTCTCTTTATTTTCCCTTATGGATCCTCCCAACATTCCTGTGTTAATTCTTTCAACTTTAAAAAAGTTAAATTAAGAGATAACTAAACAAGATTTCTTGTCTTCTAGCTCTGCAGACTTGGTGGACTGTGTCTGTTTAAGATATGAAAACTCACTTTGGGGTTTATGCTTGGGAGAAATTCAGCAGAAAAGAATCAAGGCCAAATCCTTCCGCATAAATAAATCCCTTAATGTAAAAAGACTGCAGAGTGACAGGAGAATCCAGGAAGCCTAGAATCAAAATGCCAGGAGATGTTGGCGTGCGTGGGGGGGAGGGACACAAAACATCAACCCAATGATATAAACGGAGGTATGAGTGGTATGCAGGAAATGGAGGAGATCACATTCAGAACAAAAGGACCAAAGCTGGGGGCTGGTGGCTCACACCTGTAATCCTAGCTACCCTGGAGGCTGAGATGTGAAGACTGTGATTCAAAGCCAGCTCATGCAGGAAAAGTCTGTGACACTCTTATCTCCAATTAATGACCAGAAAAAGCCAGAAGTGGAGCTATGACTCAAGTGGTAGAGCACTAGCTTTAAGTGAAAAAATCTCAAGGACAGCACCCAGGCTCTGAGTTCAAGCTCAAGAACACACACATACACACACACACACACACACACACACACACACACAGTTCCAGGTCTTACATTTAAGTCTTTAATACATTTTAAATTGATATTTTTATTTAGTGAGAGGTAGGAGTCCAATTTCATTCTTCTGTTTGTAGATCTCCACTATTCTGAGCATTCTTGGTGGAAAAGAATTCCTTTTCCCACTGTTTGTCCTTAACAACTGTGTCAAAAATCAATTGACTGAGCCAGATGCCAGTGGTTTATGCCTGTAATCTTAGCTACTCAGGAGGCTTAGATCTGAGGGTCAAAGTTCAAAGCCAGCTGGGCAGTAAAGTCCATAAGACCAGTTAAACACATACACACACACACACACACACACACACACACACACACACAGCTGTGGCTTAGTAGTAGAGTACTAGCATTGAGCAAAAAAGCCCAGGGACAGCATCTAGGCCCTGAGTTCAACCCCCAGTACTGGCACACATTCAGAAAAATCAGTTGTCTATAAATGCATGAATTATTTCTGCATTTTCTATTCTATTGGTTTGTGGATCTTATGCTAATGCTATTTTGATTACTATATTTTAATATATTTTGGATACTATATCTCTGTTGTATATTTTGAAATCAAATAGTATGCCTCTTGCCTTTTTTTGCCCCTCAGGATTGCTTTGGTTACTTAGTGTCTCATCTCAGTGAGAATGGCTATTATCAAAAAGGCAAAAAATAGTAATTGCTAGAAAGGATGTGGATAAAGAGAAATCCTTGTACATTATTGGTGAGAATGTAAGTTATGTAAGTTAGTAGTAAAGCCATGTTGGATAACAGTATGGACACATCTCAAAAAAATGAAACTGGAATGGTTTCTGGTCCTGCTCCTGGATATGTACTCAAAGGAAATGAAATGAACATGTTGCAAAGATACCCATATTCCAATGATGATTTATATTGACAACAACCAGCATATGGCATCAACTTTAATTTCTACAAGCAGACTAAGCAATAAAGAAAATGTGGTCCAGGGGCTGGGAAGATGGCTCAGTGGTAGAGTGCTTGCCTTGCATGCCTGAGGCCCTGGGTTCGATTCTTCAGCACCACATAAGCAAAAAGAAAAAAAAAAGCCAGAGGTGGTGCTGTTGCTCAAGTG